CTGAAATTCAATTGGTTTGCGCCACGATAAAGTCATGTGACCGGAAAATTTTTTGTGGTATAATTACATAGGTTCTACTCCAAACACTTGTCAAATGATGGCAAATCAGGTACAAATCGGGTATCTGATTTTAAGCTGATTACTTCCTGATTGATAACAAAATTGATATCAAATCGGGTAGTGATCAGCTTAGAATCAGACACCCCGATTTGTGTCCTACGTATTTGCAATCATTTACTAAGGCCGTATCTTATCACGTGACATAGAGCCGATAATACTAACAAACCTTTGAAAAGCGTGGTCGTATACATATGTGATAATGTTAGAAAATACCATAGGAGCATATTATTGTTAATTGTTAATTTCTGTAAATTGCTTTATCCATGGCAACTATATTTATGTAAATTTATATTTATAAATGTTATTTAAACCATAAAAACTGCCAAAATCAAATCTAAAATATAATAAAATCGACCAAAATCTCAAATAATTCGCAAATCACGAACCTTATAACTTTACAATACCACATTTTAACATCAAATTTATTAGATGCAAGGAGTATAGATTAATAATTTTATAAATATACATGATAAAGCAAATGAGAATTATTTTCAAGTAGAAAAAAATGCAATTAATTGCATTTCCTTAATAAGATAAACAATTATGAAGATTTCTATCTTTACCAACAATCACCCCACCGATAGCCTATTTGGCCAATATCATATGTTAGGGTTTCACTTGACATAATAATGTCGACTAAGAGAGCTGTTAGTGAAGAAGAGGGAACCGTTAATTACAGTGGGATTGAAATTCTCCTTATAAGGTCTGAGAAAATGTCCCAAACTAGATTCTACTGTATAAAAAATTATAAATGAACAATTGTTATTCATAATGTAGTTATATAAAATAATGCAAAAGGCAAAAATACTTTGTAGAAGTTTATATCTATTTTTTATGATTTATAAATAAATTGAAACCTAGGTGATAATTATATGGTTGCTAATTTTTTATAGAGGTTATATCCGGATATAACCGGTTATTAAATTTTATTAAGAGTTATAACCTTTCAAGTAAAAGATGACCAATAACTCACTCACATTTAAAAAGAATTCATAAATTGTGAATACATATCAAGTAATGAGATTTTACTAATTGTATCCCTTGCATGAGAACTAAATCCTGCTAAACTAAGAACAATGTATGATATTACTAAATTTACTAGATGAACCAATTTTTCTGTAAAGTTTAGCTAATTAATGCCTATGGATTTGCAGTTTGTAGGAGCACACCATTTATTTGAATCTAATTAGAAAAAAAAATTAGAATATCTCGAGGCCACTATAAGTTGTCAGAATATGAGAAATTTAATTCTTACTGCCATTATCTATACTATATTTACCGATATCTGAGACTGCAGATGTCGTTTTCGTATCTAATCTTTTAAGAACGGCAAAGGCTGCAGAATTCGTTGAATAGTTAACAATTATGATGATTAATAGAATAATGTGTACACGCAGTTCCATAATGAATTTTCAGAAAAGAATTTTTTGAATATAATAAGTTCAGTTTTATTCAGCTTACGTGGAAAGATTAATAAAAATAAAAATATAGAATTAAATTAATTAAAAGCTCAAGTCGATTTTAATGAAAGTAAGATTGCAGTAATGGAAAGCTATGGGTATTCTCAAGTAGCTTATAAATGAATTAGTTAGTAATTGTAGGATGCACAACCAAACTTAATTAAATCTAGAATAATATAGTTGAAGCGTTCTTACACAACTCCAACGATGTGATCATCTTGTGATTGTGTTTATATTCAGGCGTTTCGATAAACAAATAATGAACGATTGAAATCTTTTATCAATATTAGTCTAAATTTAATTTGCAAAAGAACAAATGGAATGGTTGTGCTTCGTGTAGTAGAGATGAAGGCTAAATATAGTATGCATTGACCACTCTTGAAGTTTTACTATTTGCCTTTTTTTCATTTACGGCTAAGTTTTTTCATAAGCAATAAGCTAATAATAATTGTTGCTAAACAATCTTTCACTAATTAATCTTTTTTCTTTCCATGTGCATTAATTAACATAATTTTATGTAACATTTTATTCGCTATAATAGTAAACAACTTAAATTATTTTTAGAATAATTAAAATTGAAACGCTTGAGAACACCTTAATTTTGCGAATTTATATTCAATTACTGTAAATAAATAAATAAAATAAAACAAATAAATAAATAAATCGGCAAATCTGCCCGTCTAATAAAGGAACCTATCAGTTATAATTCCGGTCTAATTTATCGATCATTTTGTTAAATAATTGACAATTTTGACCACTAATTGGTTCTATTGGATTGCAGACATGCCGATCAATATGATTTAAGCTAATGCTAATTGGATTTCTTATTTTGCTTGATCAAATCTTCTATATACGGATAGGTAGTGTAATGAAGTTTAGATGTGTGAATTGAATCATACGTATCAGCTTTCCAAGATGATCTTTGTATAGAATTCTACAGTAAAAATTTCATTACAATCAGGTGTTGGCAAAATATGGACATGGACAATATGGACCATTGGAAATTTGGGTGTTCGGTCAACTATGTAAATCAAAACTATATGCAGTACCATATAAAAACCAATTAATAAATTTTTTTTCGAATTTAGATATCAGTATATTGACCGCGATTATTTATTACTTTTAAACACTATATATTTTAATAGTAAAGAACGATATGTATGTTTAGATGTCTAGAGAGAATCGCTTTATTTTTCTATTATTTTAGCATAAATCAACTCTGAATAGTTCTTAATATGAGTTAAATTGAAATTTAAATTAGTGCTAAAAATTTTAACGTTACTTTGATTTATACTAAAATAATTGAAAAAAAATAGTGATTCTCTTTAGACATCTATAGACATACAAATCATTCTTTACTATTTTAAAAGTGATAAATACGTAATCCCGATCAATATCATGATCACTAAATTCGAAAAAAAATTCATTAATTGATTTTTTATTTACATAATTGTCCGAACATTCCATTGTACATGGACATTTATGCATATTGTCATATTTTCCTATTGGACATAAGGCTCTTAATCCAAAATTAAAGATATAGCTTGCACTCCCAAAATTAAGTAAATGTCTGAAATATCCCGAAATATTCGGCAAAAGAAGATATGGACATGGATACTGTTTAGATTATCCATGTCCATATTTGTCCAAGCTCAAATAAAACTCATTTGACATAGTCCAAATGCAACACTGATTGCAAAGCATTAATCGTAATATATATGTCATAGCCGACGCTAATTGGCTGAGTATAATTAACTATTTGATTTAATAGTCGGTCAGGATTAGCTAATAAATCTTTATTATCAGGTATGTACATAAATTGCGCTATGGCTGCCATGCCATAAATACGTGCAACTGGTGCTCTAATAACCAGATCGGGTCGGGTTGGAATCATTTCAGAACCTACCTGAATTAGACATTGTTTTCGCAAATTTTCAGATTTTGAATAAATAATTTATTTACATATTGCTTAATTAACTCGGGACATGCATAATTAAATGGGTCACAGTTGATCTGTACAAACTTGTTCAATAGAAGTATACACAAACAAAGATTTAAACCTCAATCGGTAAAGCATAAAAATAAAATAAATTAGATTAATAATGCATGATTTATCTTGTTTTTGTTCTATTTTTGAAAATTTATATCTTGTTGTTTATATGATATTAAATTAACCGGTCATTCTTAAATTTTCAACCGTTTAGCCGTATATATCTAATTCGAATCGGTTAGCTGGTTAAACATTAATAGGTTCATATCTCTAGGTGATAAAGAAGATTCTTTTTAGCCTTCGATAGTCTGCTATAGATCCGCCAAAAATACCTGTGCATATATCAGGAAAATTAAGTGTAAATCTGCAAAAATCTGGTTTTTTGCACATTTGTGCGAATTTGTGCAATTCTATACAAAACTTAAATCTTTAAAAAATTTTGCTTTATTTTTTATTTAAGTATTTTTTTTATTTTTTTACCGAATTTGAAGTTTTGCACAGATTTTCATTAAATAAAAATATAACTCTACGGAGTTTTAAAAACCTTACACTTCGTAGACTTAATAGTAGAAGTTGTTCCTTAAAATAAAATTATCCTTCCTGACCCGACTTGTTCGTAGTGAACCCCATTTGTTTTATTATTTAATTTTTGTAAATATGTGCAGAACTGCACTAAAAATTTTTTTTTGATGTATTTGCAGCGTATTGGTAAGATATCAGGAGTATGTGGATAACGCACAATATTGGGATACCCAATATGCACTCCTGATATATTGGCGGATCTATGCTAGATTATCTGGTACATATTAGGAACTTGTCCTCCCACATCAGATAAAAAGGGTGGATATCGATTAGAGGCGATTGCCATCCATTAGTAAATCGACAATAATCGATATTGGTAGCTAATCGATTAAAAAACAATCGATATTTAATTTAGTTTTGATATCAATCGATTTCAATCAAAACGATTCTAATTAGCAGCTTTTTGTCAATCGATTTTAGCCTGTATCACTGGTAATCGGCTATCGATTGACATTTCTTTCTGTCAATCGATTACCAACATTTCCTGATGCAGTATGTACCCGATATTCGTTGATCGAACCTGTGCTTTTTACTAATTTACAAATTTGCTACTTGTTTTGTCCTGTTTTCATCGGATTTTTTTTATTAATCGTCAAAGACCATAAAAATCATAGTGAAAGAATTTGATAATTTTAAATTATAGCTAGTCATGTGTTTATTATGGTAACCAATAAATTTTTTAAAACTCATTAATGTTTATATTAGCATTTAAATTGGGCTAGGTGCTAGCAAAATGTATACTACGAAATCATTTAAAAATCACAATATTTTTATAGTTTTATTAATAAAATTATGGAAAATATTAAAATCCACAAAATTGTATTAATTAAAGCTACCTTTATGCTCTAAGTAA